GTAAAAGCACCATGTGAAAAAGCACCTAATTATCCACCGCTCTGATAGGCAGCATTTTCATATGGGAGATTTCAGAGCTACAAAGAGGCCAAATACTTGGTGCCAGAAATTCTGGTGCATCACTCACAGAATCTGCAGAATTATTTGATGTGTCCTGGGGAAGAATCTCAAGAAATCAGGCTAAAATGCCAAAGACGAGCGACGTGTGTCGGAAAAGCAGAGCAGTGGAAGCTTGTGGGCGGGGAGAGGCAGCCGCTTAGCGGGATTTAAGCTGAACACAACAAGGTGCGACCCCCGGAAACAACCCCCGGACTGATCCGGCAGCCCCGTGGCCCAGTCTCACTCACGACTGTTCTGAGCTTCTAAAGGCTGGAATGTACGGCAGGGCTGTGATTTACAAACTGCTGGAACCCAAAGCCAATGCAGGACGCATAGGCGGGTGTAAGCAGCACTAAACCTGGGCCCCTGAGCTCTGGGCAGTGGCAGTATAATGTGACTCATCTTTCGCCCTTTTTCCTTCATCTGGAGGGGTTTATGTTCAGAGCCGCAGAATCCTTTCAGACCGCAGTGTCTGTTGGCAGCCGGTGAACATGGCGGGGAATCTCTTATGGTATGGCAGCCGTCTGGTGGTAGGAAAACGGCCAAAACGCGGAACGTGTTCCCTTGTGACGTTCCCGTGTTCCAAAATGCCCCCAAGCAGACTGCTAAACGAAATCGAGCGGCTTCATGGACACCAGGATTAAGGGGATCGGCCCCCGTGACCCCCCCAGTCACTAGATGTGAATGATACTGAACCTCAGTGGGAAATTCTTAGGCAATAGATTTCCGCTTTCATCTCTCAAAGCACTTCTCTTCTTGAAGAATAGTACCATGTGAGTACAGACTGTTTAGGACTTTGGCAAACTTTCAAGAAGAATGTTCTGATGGTAAAATTGATATTATAATGAAAATGCAGAACAGCATATTTTTCTCCACTACCTACCGTGTGTGTGTGGAAAAAATTATACAAGTGTAACATACACACACTGATGAGCCAAAATGCTCTGACGTCTCTGTAACAGGCATGTGAATAACGTCAACTGTCTCAAATGACACATATCAAAGTCTGGTTAACTCGTGTATGTGTCCGTGAGTGAAATGTCATTGTTTGTGTCCAGAAGGTGTGGTATGTGGTATTTTAAGCCGGCTGCTGTGTTCCCCCTCTAGCGCGGGCAGAATTCCGATAGCGGGAGTATCTGCCGCGAGGCCTCCTTTGACGGAATCAGCCAGTAAGTTTATCTGGGATCTGTTATTTATCGCTGTAAATGTATGTGCTTCCCACGGAATTTTAATTACAGCAAAGGTTCACGCATGCTGATTAATTTTATCTGTTGTAAGAATTAATTTATTTGAAGTGATTACATACTGAGTCCCAGCCTGATAGTTTTCTTTCTGCAACTTTTTGAGTTCAGCCTTTGTCTTTAGAAATATTTGAAAAGTAATTTATTGACTGCACCAGAGTGTGTCCCTTAATAGCCTTTGTGATAAACATTAATCAACTAGCCATGAATATATAAGCAGATCAACTAGACTGCCATCATAAGCAGGATATTGTTTATCATCATTTGTATTAACGGTGTCTGAAATTCCTGGAACATTCTGGCAACATGGATAAAACTGTGATGGACGCCCCTGCAAAAAACAGTTTGGTGTCAGCAAGGGTCGACCTTGACCTACCTTATTATAGAAGAGAAAAGTTACATAGTTCAGTACAAAATGTGGTCTGAAATGTAAATACAGTGGAAATAATGATTCTCTGGTTTAATCAAAGGCTGCTGTCCACTCTGGAGGCTCGGAGACAGAGACTAATAGGTCAACCTGATGCGGGTGTTCAGTTATTAATCTTCCTATCGCTCCCTGCACGGACCTGAGCGCTGAGATGGCGTAACAAATGTACAGGCATTAGGCGCTATTTAAAACTTAATGAATGTTTACAAAAAATTCTTGGGGCTTTAATGTGCAGTGCACTGGATGTAGTCATGCTCAGTCGCTTTGGATTTTTTGTGAGTAGTTACACGTGAAATTCACTTTGAAACGAGTCGGTTCTTCTATCATTTTTGGGCCAGAATCTGAAATGCAGTTGTTCTTCAATATCTGTTATACAGGAGCCTACATGGATATATACTTAATATAATCAGTCTGATTTCCAAGTGTCTTAAGCACATTTAATTTAACAGAATAACTAGGTTCACATGATTTCTTCTGTAGGAACATTAGTTCACCTTTGTTAAATAAAGTCACTTTCTACTATCTCAGTGATTTGTGTTGTGATGATTTGTGTTGTGCTGTGTCTCCTTTCAGGTTCCAGGTGAATAACACTCTGCTGCACCCTGTCATAGTGGAATGGTGAGTAGTGTGTTTCGTAAATGTGACTGAGCCCCCAGTGAGTGAAGATGAGGTGTGATGGTGATGGTTTGAATGTCCCTGCAGATATGGGCATACCGGTTCCAAAGCGGCAGTGAGTGAGGGCTGCAGTGAGTGAGGGCTGCAGTGAGTGAGGGCTGCAGTGAGTGAGGGCTGCAGTGAGTGAGGGCTGTCTACAAAATGCGTATCGAAGTGAGAATCCAGTGGAGCCGTGTCTCGTTTCCCAGCCCATGTGGTCAGTTCCTTTGGCCTTTACCAGGGGAGTCCTACCACACCAGCAATACTAGGGTTGCTTAACTGGAGGGTGTGGGGAGCGGGGGGAAATTGTGACTTGCTAAGGTAATAACCAAGTCTGGCAGCGGTAGGTAAAGCTCGTAATGGAAAACCAAGGGAAGCACAAAAGAGAATCTCCACTCTTTGAAAAGATGACAGTATCCACTCCATGAAAACGCATCAAAATGCTCCTTCCATTACTGGGACTTCCACTTTCGTTGTAGAAGAAAGCGAGAACCATTCGCCCTCATAATAGAGATGTAAAGATGTAGAGATCACTTTGAATTCCTCGTGTTTTTTGTGCTGCCGAGTAAAGCAGTTTGTTCCTTATCAGCGTCGTGATCTTCGTTATGGGGGATCCCAGGTCAAACTGGGACCAGCGCCGTAGACAGCTGGCTCTGTGTGTGTGAGGTGGCTTTAACACAGAACATTAGAACATCTACGGAGATCAGGCATCAAGGCCGCTAAAACGATGGCTTTATTCTGCAGATATTTGTTGACTTTTGATGTCAAAAATGATCTCTAAGGGACCTTCGGAACGCTTTTCTGTGGCGTCACGGGCTAATTTGAGAGGGAGCTCTTTGTACATTTATATGCAAATGCCTTTTGGTCTTTGAGATTACACCCCCCGCAACTCTGAAAAGGATACGCAGTTTCTGAAGATGGATGGATGGATTGAGATTACAGTGGAGTATATTGGCCTTTCATGTTGAAGGATACTCCATGAAAAATAGCAGCATAAGACTCAAAACTTAAACTCTGTGAAATGCCAATTTAATTTATGAGCAAACATAAGAAGTAATATGAAGTAATAATTTTAATAATATTATTTGTAGTAATTAAACCTCAGGTTTAAGGCAATATATATAGTAAAACTGTATATGTTATGGAGTTTGGGTCTTTTTCACTTATTTCAAGTCTGGAAAGTCCAAAGTGTGTCACTGATCTCCAATGGCACAGAA